ATTGTATAAATTTTGTATGAAAATTGTATTTAAGTTGTATGATGTTGTAGATGTATTTAACTGAGTAAAAATAATGTATGAAAATTATAGATAAATTGGAAATATGTTGTATAATATATAATTACTTGTATAAAATTTATTTTAGTTTATATATTATTGTATATGTATCAAATTTGTACGAAAATTTATTTTTAATTTGTATGTTGTCGTACCATACAAATCTATCACTATCGAATTTTTATTGATGTTGTCGGTGCTACATCGACGGAGATAGAGGCATTGAACATTTTACTTAATTTCGACTTACGTGTTCAGCCACTTAAACCACTTTTAAACCCAGAAAATAGTCAACAAATCGCACACTTTTACACCTAAAACCAAGCCCAAAACTATCCATCAACAGCCGCAAAAATCTGCTCGGAAACAGTCTAAAGAGCTTACAAAAACCATGAAAATCAGTTGAAATGACCTTTAAAACGCAGTTGAAAAACAACATTTTTCAATATTTTTCTACTTTAATAAAAAAAGAAAATGATGTAACTAAATTCCCTAATTTAAGGCACTAGTAATGGATTGTGTATATAGAGAGAGAGAGAATAGGGAAAGAGGAGAGAATTGAAAAAAAGAAAAATGGTGTAACTAAATCCCCTAACTTAAGGCACTAATAATGGAATGTATATATATAATTTGTAAGTAATTCTTGTTTAGGGCGGATAATATATAAAATTAGGAAATCCCTAAACAAAATATCTTTTGGACTTAACCCACTTTGCCGTAAAGCCACTATATATATATATGACCAACTTAGTTCTTGTGTTCTCAAATTGAGAGGTGGCTATTTTTGGTGACTTGAGGGAGAAGAAGACATTGTTCTTTGCTCCATAAAATTTTGCTCCAGGCTGTCCTCTTCTTGTAGCGATTCTTGATTCGTTAACCGTTTGATCGTACTCAAATTTGGACCGGAGATTCTCAATATCCTGTTCTTTGATTTGAACGGTGAAGATCAGATTTTGCTATCTGGAACTTCCCAAAACTGGACGTGAACAGTAGCCCTGTTTCGGGTGATTTCTCTCCTTTTCGTTTCAAGAATATATTTGCTTATATCATTTCTTACTTGTCCAAGAGCCACAGGAATCAATACTCCAAAAGACGTCGAAGCACTTCAAAACTTTATCTACAAGCAATTGGACCTACAGAATGAAGCCATACCCAAAAAAGTAAAAACATAGTCCTAGGTGCTAAACCAATTTATTAACATAGAGAAAAATAGAAAACAGTCAAAACCACAACTTGTTTTGCTAAGGATGTTAAGCTAGAATATTCGAATAAATTATACCCTAAACCTGAAAGATGGTAATCTGAATGGTCCTTCAATCACTAGAAAAATCTTCATAACTCAAGCCTTCTGATATATTATCCAACCCGTTAATGTCTGCCAAAAAATAGGAACAGATATAAGTACTGGTACACTAAGCTGAAGAATTCAATGTTACATGCCACACAACTACCTTGATGTTCTGCCCTACCCTGAGGGTCCAAAAAATTGCTAGTATCTGTTGCAAGGAACGCTGATCCAGAGTAGCCCTCTAGAATATCTGTATAGAACAGAAAGTCAAAACATATAAACAATGTAAAAGTGAGCAAGATATTAATCCAGAAGAGAAGACAGGCACAAACCAGAACTGTTAGTAAAATCAGCTGTTAAGTCCGACAAACTGAAGTTTCGAGGAATCTGTCCCAAGAAACCAAAGGAAGAAGTATCAGCACCCAAGCCGTTTCCATTCAGAGCTTGTGAATTTGACCCTACATTGCTGAAAGGTGGAACAGATGGATCCCCAATTCCAGGACGAGCCTCCAGGACATTGCTGTCACTACCATATAGGAAGCACGAGTCGCCTGAATAACCAACTGATTTGATCATCCCATCATTTGGTCCTTGCATCATTCCGAGGTTTGAGCTTTGAGACAATAGCATGCTTGGTGATACATCAAATCTTCTTGCATGAGCAGAAACATCGATAGCAGCTTGCACATATGATTGGACTGGGGATGCACCATTTGTGTAAATATGAGGTGAATTGCCATTAATAGTCTGGTGCATGTTCTCAAGCTGTACATTTTGCCCAGCATGCTCTGTTGCTTCCCATGTTGGGTTCTGTGGTACTGTCAATATGATGAAATTACGCATCGTTAAACAATAAAATAGGTATACAAATGTATAGGACGTGTTTAATTTCGCGTTGCGATGTACAATCCATGTTGAATCCGGACAAACATAAAAAGGGAAAGCTAAAATAATACAAATATGATACGTCTCTCAAGTTTGACATGAAACTAAAGCAAACAATCCAAAAGGAAAACAGAAGTGGATAGTTCGTTTATCCAAGACTGGAGTTTGTCTTCCCGAAACAAGAGCAGTAAACATGATGTTCTCAACCAAGCACCATTTGAACTCTCATTAGATGTCCTTCAAACTTCTAGTGCAGCAGAGGAGTCATACTATGACTCCAGCACCAGTTGATTCACCACCCGTCCAGCCAGCTCGGGGTGGAGCCCAGTCAGCTAGAGGTCGCTCTAAAGAGGGAGGCCGATCAGGTGGCGGTCAGGCCCGATTCTATGCCCTTCCTGCCAGACCAGATGCCATTGCCTCGATGCAGTGATCACAAGTATTGTCTCAGTGTGCCACAGGGAAGCTTCTATATTATTTGACCCT